CCTCAACCCTGAACCTTAAACCCTACACGCTGAACCTTGAACCTTAAACCCTAAACGATTCAACGTTCAACGTTCAACCCTAAACCCTGAACCCTGAACCCTAAACCCTCAACCCTGAACCTTGAACCTTAAACCCTGAATCCTGAATCTTGAACCTTAACGCTTGAACCTAAAAGATCCGGAACAGGCAGAGCTAGACCCTGAACGCATGAGCTCTCCAGTAAGATTGTCCGCTCCGACAGAACCCTTAACTGCACCCTGCCTGTCAGCCTCAGGAACGCCAGCCTCTTTGACCACTCCTATGATGCAAGGGCGTTTGGGGTTGATGGTTTAGGGTTTAGGGGTCCTCCAATATAAGGGCGTTCTGGGCGGTTTTAGGGTCTTGGGGCTTAGGGCTTTCCTGGTAGAACCGTTGTCACTGGTGTTGACACTCGTCTTTTCTGCTCTTTCGATGCTACCACTGATAATGTTGCTATAACTATATGTATAGAAAATATACACTGTTGAAAGATCAGCACGACTACTTCGATTCATGCTACAGTCACGAGTGGTATCGCTATTGCAACTGTTGTGCTTGCTGTTGTTCGTGCGCGTGATGCTGTTCCGCGGTGCTTCGTTTATCCTAAATACCAATCACTCAAACCCGAAGCCCTTCTAGTATCGTGGTGTGGTGGGGATTCTTGGGAAGGGATTTTCTTGCTTCAAATATTCGAAACCTCGACGATTTGAGAGTAATTTATTGACTGAATTCATGGCTTTCAAAATCTGAGTCGCGTGAGTCTAAACCCCAAACCCTTCCGAACACAACCCTGAAAGCAAGCCCAACAACTGAACTAGATCCTGCAGGCAAGGCTGTCTTTCCAGCAGAGCGTCTCAGTTGCAAAAAAAAGGCGTCAGCCAAAACCCTCAACCAGGAAACGGCCTTCACCCCCCGAGCGAGCTTCACAGTCTGGCAGTAGACCGTCAATTTCTAAAGCCGAGCTTTGCTACAAGTCTAGATTTCAGTGTCTGAACCCCAAACCCTATAAGCCCTGAAAAAAACCTCGACTAAACCCCCCCTCAACCCTAAACCCTAAACCCTAAACCCTCCCGAAAGGTACCGGACCTACACGGGTCGTCCTCGGAGCAAGGCTAACCGGCGGAGCAGCTCGAGATCTCCTCCAAGCGACTTCCCAAGAGACTCCACAAGACAGCCCTGAATTAAGGGGAAATACGCTAAGGAGAATTTATTTGTAAGGATTTCCAGAAAAAATGGGTTGAAGAATACATGGGCCCCAACTAGCTCGCATTTTTGGGGGTTGCTGATTTGGATTTCTGTATCTAAGTCCTTAAACGGGTGGTTATTCAGGATTAATGTCAGGTATACCCGAAACTGCAAAAAGGCTTCGGGTTTATAGCGGTTCTGGGTTTCCGAT